TACATAATGCAACAACATAAATTACCTTAAGGAATTTATTAGATTATAATGTCTTTGTGGTTAGGGCCCATGTCCAACATTGCTTCTGTATACTGCCTGGCCAGGAATAAGATTTTAAACACACAATAAGTAGGTACTCAGGAAATTCATAATCAGTTTCAAAATTTAAATCACAAAATAAATCCTTTGCTACTTCCCAAATTAAATAATAAGTAAACTAGGAAGGAAAGAATCAGAAAAAAGCAGAAGATATAATCTCTATGTGCATATAAACTATTCTTAAATATATAGTAGTTTCAAAATATGTGCAACTATTATGTATTCATAATTTTTTTTAAAGCTAACCAAAGAAATAGTAGCTTTATATATGAAAGAATATTGGGACTTTGAAGAGGAAAAGTACATTATTCACAAAGAAAAAGTAATCCTGGATTTATTTTTGTCAGATGATGAATCAATGCTAACTATTCTCAACTCTTATCTAAGCATAATAATAGTTTCTATTTTCCCAGTGTTTTGTAGCTTAGTGAGGGCAGACATCATTATCTCCCTCCATTTTATAGAAAGATAAGAAGCTGCTGTTCAGAGCATGCATATGCTTTGCCCCACGTCCCCAGCTGCTAAATGACAGAGCCAGGCCTAAGTTGTCTTCTGGCTTCAAATCCATGATTCTTTCCACCACTCATGCTCCAAGTCTCTGCTCATTGAGGATGAATCCTTTGTTTCACTTTCCTGGGGTAATTGTGTGGCTTTTGTAAAAGATCCATCACTCTGAAGATGAATTGAACCATCAGGTAAACATTTAAGGAAAGTAGGGGAGCTAAGTTGGAATGTAAGTAGATGCCTGGCATTATAACTGATGGCATAATTACTTCCCATAACGTGGAGCACCAATCACAGAGTGGGTTTAATAGACAGAGGCTCTTAAGTATTTACAAGTATGGATAAAGTGACTGCCCTTCATCAGTACAAGCAGGCGCTGGAGTCCGCCTTCCACTGTTAACTGGGACAGTATCAGTGTATTTCTGGCCCCACCTGGCATTCAGATCCTCTGCCACCCCTATGCCCGCCTTTATAGCCTTTTCCCCTACCACTTCCCTTTCCTCAGCTTGTCATCCACTAAATGGGGGTACTCAGTTTGTGTTCCCCAAACATAGCCCCCTTTTTCCTGTCTCTCTGACTTGGCACACCTCCAGTGACATTGCTTTCCAGGGTCTAGCTCAAATGCCACCCCTGCCGTGAGGCTGTCCTGTTTTCCCAGCTGGACCTGGCTCCCCTGCTTCTAAATCCAAAAGCACTTTCTCTCTCTGTGCTTCTCTTATGGCCCTTACCATGCACTGCCTTTACGATAATAATCATGCTTTTTTTCTGTTTCCTTTGAGACTGCAAAACCTTAAAAGAAAGTTTATCAGACCCTAGCCTAGTGCTGGCACATGGCAATCCTCAGTGTCAGCACTGGCTGGGAAAGTGACTGATGAACACAGGAAGGAGCATCTCACCTACCCGGCTAGTGGGGGTGATTTCAGATGGATCTTTGTGTCCACCACAGCATGACCCTTAGTGCCCTACGTATAGCTGGTGCTCAGTGTGGCTCTGCTGAAAAGAAAAAAAAGCTTGTGTGGATGAACAAAGGAATAAAGAGTGGACAAACAGAAATGATTGAACAAATATCTGGGATACTGAGGTGGAAAATCAAGGTAAATACAAGTCATGCCAGATACCAGAGTCTCTTTAAAAACGGACTCTGGTTTGGGCGTGCTGGCTCATGCCTGTAATCCTAGCACCTTGGGAGGCTGAGGTGGGTGGATCACCTGAGGTCAGGAGTTCGAGACCAGCCTGACCAACATGGTGAAACTCCATCTCTACTAAAAATATAAAAGTTAGCTGGGCATGGTGGCACATGCCTGTAATCCCAACGACTCGGGAAGTTGAAGCAGGAGAATTGCTTTAACCCAGGAGGCGGAGATTGCAGTGAGTCAAGATCAGAGTTGCAGTGGTATAATCTCAGCTCACTGCAACCTCCACCTCCTGGGTTCAAGTGATTCTCCTGCCTCAGCCTCCCCAGTAGTTGGGATTACAGGAACCCACCACCACACCTGGGTTTTTTTTTTTTTTGTATTTTTAGTAGAGATGGGGTTTCACCATATTGGCCAGGTTGGTCTAAAGCTCCTGACCTCAGGTGATCCACCCGCCTCAGCCTCCCAGAGTGCTGGGATTACAGGTGTGAGCCACCATGCCTGGCCCAGGAATTGTTTATATCTTGAAACATATCCAGTGAGTTACACATGGCATTAAGAGTTCACCTGGGCTCACACCCTCCCTGCTGAAAGCCCTTCCAGTGCATCCGGTGGTTTTCTTCCCACTTGCGGGGTTAATTGTGAGACTGGCATTTTCTGTCTGGGTCATTTGTATCCCTAGATTCTGGCCCCTGATGGGGTCACCTTAGAATCAGAGGTGAAGGTGGGGAACAGAAAACCTCAGGCCTGGCCCTGATCCTCTTGCTGGTGGAACAATCATAGAAACCATATCTTGGCTTTTCATAAAATGTTGATATTTTGGAATTTATTCCACATACTCTATTTTGCAATATTTTAATATAATTTTAAGAATATTTTCATTGCAATTACTACTCTGTGTTTAGAATATTAAAAATTTTCACCCAGAATATGGTCTTTTTTCTCTCTCCAAAAACTTCCTTATGTTAGCAATTAAAAACAATAAATAGAGGGGGAAAATTAACCAAACTGAGAGAGATATTTACTAAACACTTGAAAATGTCCTGCTGTTATGTCTTAAGGCTTATTAAGGGGTAGAAGCAGGATTTTTTAAACCCTGAGTGTTGCACCCATTTCCCATATGTATTTACTTATTTTAGCAGTCAAATGAATTCCACTTCCAAATGTGGAGGTGACTTAGGGTTGGGTTTCTTTCCTGTCCTTCTGATATAGTTAGGTATTGTGCCTCCCCCAAATCTCATCTTGAATTGTAATTCCCATAATCCCCACATGTCAAGGAAGAGACCAAGTGGAGGTAATTGGATCATGAGGGCATCCTCCATTTTGTTCTCATGATAGTGAGTGAGTTCCCACGAGATCTGATGGTTTTATGAGGGGCTCTTCCCACTTTGCTTGGCACTTCTCCTTCCTGCTGCCTTGTGAAGAAGAGACCTTGCTTCCCCTTCACCTTCCACCTGATTGTAAACTTCCTGAGGCCTCCCCTGCCATGCTGAACTGTGAGTAAATTAAACCTCTTTCCTTTATAAATTACCCAGTCTGAAGCAGTTCTTTACAGCAGTATGAAAATGGACTAATACACCTTCTCTTCAGAAAGACTTTCCCTACGTGCTCAGCACACCTGCTAAGCTTCTCCAGTGTGTTGACATTAGAGCAGCCTTGTCCAATAGAGCTTTCTAAGGTGATGGAATGTTCTATGTCTGCACCATTCAGTACGGCAACTACTAGCCATGTGTGGCTATTGAGCACTTGAAATGTGGCCAGTGTGACTGAGGAACTGAATTTCTTTTAGCTTTAATTAAGTGTAAATAGCCATACATAGCTAGTGGCCAGCATACTGGACAGGTCAAATTTAGAACTTCTTCTTTCTGCCACTGTTGACTATGACAAAAGAACGAGTCATAGAGAGGAATGGACTTCTCCCATTCTACTGGGGCAGCCTGGAGAACACTTGGGCTTCGAAGGCCACTTCCCTCTGCTCCCCAGGGCCTTCCCCACTGGCTTCAGACGAGTGACTGAGGGCAAGAAGGAAGAGCCAGGATTCTGTCTACATGTGTGTGAGTTCAGTCTCTTTATTTCCAGCATCTTATTTAAAGGCCACATGCCAAGTATCAATAACAAGCTGGGATCATAACAGTCCTATCCATGCTGTTTTCTAAATTATTGTTTATAGCTTCTTTAATTCTCCATGAAGATGATGAGTCTGTGGAGAATCTTTTTGAGAAGAACACAAAGCAGAGATCTCTGTGTAAATTACCAGTATTCAAATGAGATGTGTTCTACCACATGGCCCATTCTGCTCACATGTGTTGTTTTGTTGGGGGAGCCTCTTCCTCCCTGCTTTTTTGGTGAGTTGTCACCATTTTGTTCTACAGGATCGAGGATGTTGATTCTCATATTGTACATTGTGCCATCTCTTCCTGAGCTTTATTGATGTTTTGAAGCAAAACAACCATTTACCCCTCTCCTAAAGATTCCTGTTAATGAGGCACACACAGATGAGCAAGGTGTTTATATGAAGAAATAAAGCCATTAAATAAAAATTATATGAAGAGGTGAGCTGGGAGAAAAGGCATACTTGTGTGTTTGTGTGTGTGTGCCTGCGTGTGTCTTAGAGCTGCCTGTCAAAGCTTTCCTCTCATGCACAAAGATAGAAATATGGAAATCAGAATGAAAAATAAGGGGAATTGGGTGTAGAGCAGCCTCTTAAAATTTGTGCTGTTTCCAGGCCCCTTAGCAGAGCACCAGCCATTTCCAGGGAGGCACAGCGCTGGCATTTCAGTGCCCTTCTGCTCAGGAAAGACGACCAAACAGCCCTCCTGCCCTCACCTTCACACACCACACATCTCAGCTTCAACTCGCCATCACTGTGGCGGCATTTCAGCAAGCGTTTGTTTTTGGGGAGGGGGTAGTGGTAATTACCAGCACATGATTATTTTATTTTGTCTGAATTATTTACAATGGAAGGAAGCAGTTTGGAGGGAAGGGGATATTAGGGAGTGAGTTCAATCCCACTTGCATTGATTCTACCCAGAGTAAGAAGAGCAAGCCTATTAAGAAGAAAAATCACTTCCTTTTTTCTTCCTCTCTTTCCTTTCCCACCCCCAAGTCTTAGAAATAAATAAATAATGCAAAGAAAAGCCCTGGGTGGCTGCATGGGAAGGGCCAGTGGCTGGGTGTCTGTGGCCTTCACTGAGGACTCACTTCCATTATTACATCGGGTCCTGGGCTGGAGCGTTCAGTGGTTCAATTCTCACTCCCCAGCGCTCATCTTGTACATTGGTGCATAATGAACACCATGTATGGATTGAAATCCCATTTACAGGATGTTCAGTTATGGAACCTGTAATCAGGAGAGGTGGATTTTAATCCCAGAGGTGTCGTTCCCTTATTGTTTTTTAAATTTAAGATTTATAGCTCTCCAACTTCCAGAAGAACTTGCTGATGGTTTATAGCAGCAAAGGTGGTGAATGAGGGATCCTTGAGGAGAAAACAGAAGCGAAACCACCTGAAGGAAGCGGGACGTGTTGATGCTTCCAGGCACCAGGTTGGCCGTAACAGTTGGGTAATAGGCTCATGGTTGTGCTTCCATTTCTTCTTTGTGCTTCCATTTCTTCTTTGTCAAATAGGGAAAGCAAACCCACCTCCTGCCGTGTGAAGTAATAGGTAGAGTAATATTTGTGAGAAAAGACATCCGTATCATTTTGGCATGATATTGCATTCCTACATTTAGGAAAAAGAAATGTCAATAGAGGCAGAGCATCTCATGACCTAACCCCACTGCATATCCCTGAAGAGAAATACTCAGAATAGTGCCCTGGCACACTGAAGATGAGAAACTGGGGTTGCAAGTGCCACCTGAGAGAAATGGGGGTGCTTTTATTTATTTTTTTCTTCAATGAAGAACTTTTGAATAAAATGTTAACATACTTACCAACTCATAATATATGTGAATTTCAAGACTTTGCAATAAAATGGATGTCTAAGTATCTACCCACCTAAATTAAAAAACAAGTAATTATTGTCCAGGCGCAGTGGCTCATGCCTGTAATTCCAGCACTTTGGGAGGCTAAGGAGGGCGAGACTAGCCTGACCAACATGGTGAAACCCCGTCTCTACTAAAAATACAAAAAGTAACTGGGCGTGGTGGCAGGCGCCTGTAGTCCCAGCTACTCAGGAGGCTGAGGCAGGAGAATTGCTTGAACCCTGGAGGTGGAGGTTGCAGTGAGCCGATTGTGCCATTGCACGTCAACCTAGGCAGCAGAGCGAGACGCTGTCTAAAAAAAAAGAAATATATGATTCCTATCATTGAGACTCCAATAATATCCCTCTTAGTCCCAAGGTAACCACTATCATGATTTTGTGCATATTGTTCTTCTACTTTTTAAAAACAAATTTTGCATGTGTTTGAACCATATGTAATTGGAATTATACAGATATATTCTATGAATTCCTTTTTTTCACCTAATATTATGTTTTTGAGATTTGTTCAAGTTAATACTTATAACCTATTTTATTCATTATCACTATGGTTTGCTATTTTGTTGTATGATTACTCTAAGACTTATTCATTCTCTTATTGATGATCATCTGGATGTCTCCATTTTTTAAATTACAAACCACATTGCCATAAATATTCTAATATAAATGTCTTTTGGTACACAGATCTAGGAGTTTCTCCATTGTATTTGCCTTAGAGTAGTATTGCTAGCTCATAAGAAAGGAGTGTCTTCAACTTCGTTAGATCTTGCCAAGATCTTAGTCCAATCTGTACTCCCAACAGCAATGTTTATGAAGGAACTCAAGAATTTTTTATCAGCTATGAGCTGATTCAACTCCTTGCAACTAAGAGGAAAAGTTAATAGGAAAGAGAGACTGCATGGCTAACAGAAATCCACAGACAATGATGATGATGATTACCGTAATCGCAATGACATAATGATGATTACCATCACACCAATGACAAGGACAAGAACAACAAACCCATAGTGCTTAATGTGTGCCAGGCACTGTTCTGAACAGTTCACACATTTGGCACAGTGCCTGACACATGGTAAAGACCCATTCAATCTTTACAATTACTCTAAGAGATTTGTACTATAGTCTCACTTAGCAAGTAAAGAAACTGAAACACAGAGAGGTTAAGAAACTTGCCTAAGTTATGGCTGATAAATGTAGAAGCAGGAATTTGAGTGGTTGCTCTGAACCACATGCTTCATTAAAAATTTTAATTTAATTTTTCTTGGCATTACCATTCATGGACTTTATTTTTTAACTTTATTTTCTTTTTAATTGACAAATGGTAATTGTATACATTTATGGTGTACAATGTGGTATTTTGATACCCCTATACACTGTCCTTGCTTCATTTTAGCCAATTGCTTATGAGTTCACTCTAAATGAACCAGTAATAAGGGCAGCTACATGATTGATGGATGACTGGTCACTCTGCCATTTGAAGGGCGGGACTTACCTTTCTAATCATACTCCTTATTACACACTCTATTTTACAGCTCTCTTCACTGAGAGTTTTGATTGTATTTAGATTTCATCAGAATTTGGTTCTTAAGAAGCAAGGGAAAAGCATTCTTTCTTGGATAGCATGGAATTTGCATGACCACTTTGGCTCATGTAAAAAAAAAAAGTGAGGTGTTCTTAAACCAAAGCTTCTCAAATCCTAACTTAACATAACCTACCTGAAATCAATGTTATGCTTATTGGCACTTGACAAGACTGGAAGAAAAATAACTGTTCGTAACAGCTCATCTTCACGTAGCTAATGACAGGTACCATTGTTTTTTAGGCAAAGTGATGGGGGAGGATATTGACTATTTCAAAGGTTGTTCAAAATCACTAAAATATAACATAATAATATTGTCATAGGCATATAGGCCTAGCTATTTTTATCATGGAAACATGAGCAGAAATGAAGAACCATACATATATTTATACCTTAGGATCCATAAAACTATATTTTTTGGTCCAAATTTTTCAGATTAGTCATTTACGTGTATCTCCAATTCACAATTTTCCTCTTTCCTTTTTGTCTGTGTAGACGTACATTTGAACAGGGTAGAAAAGTGATGTTACTAAAACTTAATACTTGGAATCTTTCTTTATGATCCATCTTTAAAAGTAAACACATTATTATGATTAATAGCAATGTTCTCAGGATAATAATTTGTTTGTTTGTTTAAAACAGAAATATTTACATGAAAACTCAATACAAAGGCCAAATCATTAAGCTCTTCTTAAGCCAGAGTAGGCATATTTCATGCTGAGATATGCCATTTTAATGTTGAAAGAAAAAAAAGAAAGTCTTTAAAGATTTGGCCTAAAGAATAAATTCCAAAATGTGAAATAACACGTGCCCTGTAATGAGACGTAGATCATAACTCTGACATTTGTCTTCTCCTGGTGAATTCAATTCCTCACAGAAGTACAGAGAGGGAAAGAAAATATTGGAAGTGAGAGTAATAAAGTCAATACAGCAGGCTTCACATGTATAAATGACACTTTCTTCACAACATGAGAGTTGCAGACTTGCCTAAGACATATTCCCCTTTTCTAAGAATATTTCTGACTTTAAGGATTTCATCAATGTATTTACTATCTCACATCTCACCAGTGGGAGGATGACTGGGCTGTGGGACAGCCCCCTTTAAAAAGGCAACTGTTTTAGAGACTGTTAAGCAATGAGCCATTTGCGTGTGAGTGTAAGTTGATTTAATCAGATGGTTTTCTTTCTGGCAGCCTACATTGGGTCTACACTGAGGGATCCAGAGTTTTGAATTTAGGGGCTGAAACAATTGAGGGGAGGGAAGTGAGAGATGAGTGACACAGAGGTGAGGGGTTACAGCAATCACGAAGATGCTGAGCTCATGGAGAGAGATATGAGCATTGTTGAAAGGGGGTGAAGAAAGAGAGCTGGGAAGACAAATTTGGCTTACTTAAAAGTGTGCCAGCGTCACCTGATTCTAGGCTGTTATTGTTATTTCCCTTAACATTAAATTGGTTTTGGTGAGCTAATATGGTACTCAACTATGACTTGAAATTTGTTGCATTCAGAATGTAGTAGATTGAATAATTGGCTCCAATTCTTTGCTTTAGCCTCAATTGAGCAAAGTTTATTTTCCTAACCCTTGTCTTTGGCTCATCTATGAAACTTGTTTTGACCAACCACATATGGGCAAAAGTGTGCCAGTCCTGATCTCAGGCCTTAAGAGGCTTTGTCTTTCTCTGCTTGCCCTCTTATCCTCTTTTGTGTTTCTGCCATCTCCACTAGCTAAGCTTTCCATAGGTAGCTGTTACCCCTTTAGCTGACCTGCAACTCGAAGCAGAGCTGTGAAGTCCAGCACCAGCTTAAATAAGCTGATCTCTAGCCTATGTGCAGATATGTGAGAATAAATGATAGTTGTTTTAAGTCACTCTGTTTTTGAGATCATTTGTTACACAGCATCTTTTTGGTCATAACTGACTGATACACAGAGTTCTAAAGAACCCTCTTACAAGTGAACTCTTGGAACATAACCTGTTGGTAAGTTGGGATTTTCCTGCATTTCAACAAGATCACTACTCTCTTTTTAATGAGAATTTTTTGTCTATTTTTTATTTGGTTTCAGCTCACAGTTAAGATAAAAGCATAATTTGTTACCTGATAAGATAAAGGTTAGCAGAGAGTATGGCTTGTACCTATAGATAAGCACTCATTGCTATTGCATATAGCAATGGTTTTTAGCTGACTCTGTGAAGTTCTAGGGCCTGCAGTGAATTCTTATAAAGGCCACCTTGGGGTGGGAGTTCCCACCTCTTCTCCTTCACATAGCTCCAGCCATAGCAGAGCTATTTTTATTTGTTTTGTAACTGGGTTTCCTTATAAGATTTTGCCTAATTAAAAGGCTGAAATAAGTTGAAAACCTATAGTGAACCCCTCACTTTTCTTGGGACCCATGGTCTTCCACACATGGGCATGCTATCCTTTTTGCCTAGCTAGCTAGCTCTCTCTTTCCACTTCTCTGCAAAGCTCTTATCCATTCTTCCATACTTCTTCCTTCAATAGATGGGACCAAATTGCCATCCCTTTAAGTGTGGGCCAGACTTAGTAACTTTTAATGAGTTGAATGTACAGGAAGTGATGGTGTCTGATGTCCAAGATTTGGAGGACATTAGGCCATAAAAGGGATTGTGGCATCTCTCTCTCTCTCTCTGTGTCTCTCTCTTATTCATTAAGCATTATGGGTTTACTCATTCTGGGGAAAGCCAGTTAACATTTCATGAGGATACTCAAGCAGCTCCATGGAAAAGTCTACATGAGAGGAACTGAGCCCTCCCGCTAACAGCCATGTCAGTGATTTTGATTGCAACCTCATGAAAAACTGTGAGCCAGCTCTTGAATTCTTGACCCACAGAAACTGTGAGGGAAAAAAAAAGTTTGTTTTAGTTGTTATGTTTTGTAGTAATTTCTTATGCAGCAATATATAACCAATATCATACCCACTAAAGAGATTCTTTTCTATGATAGTCTTCTGAAATGCCTGAGCATTAATAATTTTCTTCTTTATTATTGCCCTTAATATGTACCTTGTTTGCAGGATTTAGTCCACTGCATTACCTATTTACATATCTTTTTCCTCCATTAGACTATGAGATATTTGTATTCTCAGATATCTGGCACAGTCTTTGGCATCTTACATATTGGATAAAGAATGAAAAAAATAGCTACTGCACAAGTTGTAAAAATCACTCAGAGAAGAATAAGACAGACAAAGCATAAAAAATAGCCATCTCTATCTTTGCCAAAGTAATTCTCAGTTTTGACCAGAGATTATAAATGAGCAGAAAATCCTCAAATAGAGTCAATGCTGTATTTTTCCACCACATATTGACATATAAGCCAGTTCTTTGCACTCTTGTTTCAGCAAATGACAAGCATTCCTGCTCAGATGGTGTGTCTAGAATAACAGGGTCTATAACTGAGTGGGGGGGGTGGTGTTTTGACTAGGTTTACAGATGAACAAGTTGGAAATCTATCACTATCCAAAACAAGCTTTGTATTTATGGTTTTGACCAAGTGTAAACAGAAGATATATAATTTATCAAGCTGTAGAGAGCATTTGGTGGTTTTCAGAAGCCAGAGCTATACAGTCAAATCAAAATGGTGGAAGTAGCTTCTGATTAATTCCATGTGAGCCTAGCAATTTGGAATGAGAGCCTTCTGGATATGCCAGGCTACACAGGTCTGAACAATTAGGTGTTTAAAATTGAGTTTTAATGATGATGATGATGATGAATTGTGTTTTTATTTTGATGATCATCTAAATAATTAGTAGAGGAATATTATGGGTCATCTGGAGGTCAGACAAAAAACTTAGAAGTGCCATGTGATTTCAGGTCTCGAGTTTATGACTCGCCATGGCTCACATGGCCCCTTAAGTGACAGAGTTTAACTTGTAATGCACTATTTCTCAGATTGGGGTGCATGGGCTTGTAATTTTAAGGATCTACAAGTTCTTACATTTGGGAAACAGTGATAGAAACAAGAAATGCTTCCTCGGAGGACGGATTAGTGATATTTCATCTGGGGAGCCAAGGGAAGGCTTTCTGAGGGAGCTGGCATCCTAGATGGCCCTCAAGGACAGACCCTGTGTGCCTTCTCTTATCAAGTGTCCACTTAAAGTATCTGCTTGATAAAAAATCCCCCGCTTCCAGAGGCCATTCATGACTCCCTGGTTATTCTTTGAGAGCCTCTGTGTTAGTTCTGTTTAATTACAGTGTGGTGCAGACTGAAGAAGGAATGGAAACATTTTGTGGAGGGAGGCATGAGAAAAGAAAGTGTGGGGCTTCAAGAGGGAACAGGAAATAGTTCAGTTTAACTACAGGTCAAGGTATGCAGGGTATAGTGGGGCATGGGATGCAAGGCTGGCAATGACCTATTGTGAAGGTCAAGGCATTTTTTTTTTGTCTCTGTGTTTTATCCCCTGTAATTACGAAGGGAGTGTTTGTGCGTTTGTTGTTGTTGTTGTTGTTGCTGGGGTAGTCATTTCATACTGACGGAGATGATTCTGACAAGACTGCAGCTAACACAAAGTCATGATAATATTGTTGAATAACTATCTCAGCATCATTTTGTTGAAGAGCTCTGGGCACATGGGAAATTTTTAATTCATGTATCATCTTTGATTTTTGTAGAAGACATATTTTTAGTGTGTACCTTGCCTTTGCTGAAGGCTGCAGCTGGGAAGTCACGTGTAAACTGCATGACCCTGGTCAGAGCCCCTTACCCACTCTTATCCCCACCCTGGATGATTAAATCCAACTGGCACTGGGCCTTGGGAGAGTCAACCCATTGTCTGGGCTGAGCTAATCAGACTCTCTCTTGTGGGAATTTGGACACTGAGAAACTGAGAAAGATGAGGATGGCTTTAGAACTGAAAGGTCATGCCAAATTAACCCACGTTGAATGCAGAGAAAGCTAGTTGAAAGACAGAGGTGAAGAGAGAAGAAGAAAAGCGTGGCAGCGGTGAAATACACGTAGAGAGAATCACCCTGGTTTCCGGTTTTCCAATTCCAATTTTAATTCCAATTTGGTTTGCATATAATTTGTTTCCCGTCTGTTTCTAATCTTCTGCAGGATTTCCTGCTGTATTTTTACAGTAAAATCTTCCACACTTAAGCTTATTTGAGTGACTGACTTTTTCTTGCATCCACACATGACCTTTCTAAGGTAATGCTGAGTTTGCAAATGAAGCCGTTGGTTCTCAAGAGACTGTTGGGCTGAAGGGAGTAATGTCAGCTCATTAGTTTGGGTGCTAAACCAACTTCTACCCATGAAGCAAGAGGGAGGCATGGATAGCTTCAGTTTATTAATGGGAACTCTGGGAAACAAGGTAGCAAGTACAACTTGACCAATGTTGGAAGAGATTCTACCTCTCAATATGACCAATGATGGGCTATAGACCTCAGCAGTCACTATGGTCTATTCTGACCACAGCTGAGAACGTTTTGGCAAAGAGCTGAGGTGAGTAACCACAGTGACTACATATTCTTCTACTCACAAAGAAGAATAAGAAATTAAGAGTTACGGCTGGGTGCGGTGGCTCACGCCTGTAATCCCAGCACTTTGGGAGGCCGAGGCGTGTGGATCACGTGGTCAGGAGATTGAGACCATCCTGGCTGACATGGTAAAACCCCGTCTGTACTAAAAATATAAAAAAATAAATTAGCCAGGCGTGGTGGCGGGCACCTGTAGTCCCAGCTACTCGGGAGGCTGAAGCAGGAGAATGGTGTGAACCCAGGAGGTGGAGCTTGCAGTGAGCCGAGATTGCACCACTGCACTCCAGCCTGGGCAACAGAGTAAGACTCTGTCTCAAAAAAAAAAAAAAAAAAAAAAAAAAAAAATTACATATACATATTATTGAGTTATTAAGAGTTACATATATATAAAATGCCCATATTATACATTATAAATTTTTTTATATAAATGTAACTCTTAATTTTTTATTCCTCTTTGTGAGTAACAAAATCCCACAGTTGAAGAAAAGTCATTGCCATTCTTTCAGGCGTCTGATGAAATCTAAAGCTCTCTTTGTACTAACTGCAAGGTTTAATCAGGAGTGGATAATATGAATGTACCTACCATAATGAATTTCAAGTTTTACTACCTGCAGACATTGTCAGGAACTGAATTTCCAGGGTATGCAACTTATAATTGAAAATCTTTATGTTTTAGTTCCACCTGTCATTTTAAAAATTCTATTCAAAGGATGTCTGTTATAAAAATATCTTTTCTGTCAAAAGTTATGCTTTAGAGGAAATGTGTATCATTAGAAATTAGCAATTTCAACATGTTGGTGATTTGGAATTTTTTGGAATAATTTGCTGTTTTTCAGAGTTGTTGAAATTATACGAAGGACCTTCATTCTGATAAGTAATGAATTTAGTAAGGATGAGATGGCAATGAGACATATTATTTTAAAGTCAATTTCCTTTGAAATCCTAAGAATCTTCTTTAGACAGACATGCAGCTGGAAATAGCAGGGACTAAACCAACAGGGGATGGAGACCCTGGGGATTTTCTTTGCGCTTTTTCTGGGAAGAAGCTCTGCTCTTCTGCTGTTCATCTACTCATCTGTGGGAATTCTATTCTTCAAGTACAGAGGCTAATGGCTGCAAAATGAAGTTTTGCTTATCCTCTCTCTTGCTAGATTTCTTTGAGCATGAAAATTTTACAAGGCACAACCAAACTGAACCACAAAAAGGCATTGATGTTATGGGATTGCATCAATAGCATTGGCTGTTTCATTTCCATTCACTTATCAGACATATTTACTTCTCAGATATTTCCTTAACCGGAATTGACTGTACTATAATTGCCTATTTCTTTGGTCCATTGGCTGTTAACCTTGAAGTGACTGGGGTAGGGCTGGCGAGGCCTTCCCTGTCAGGCCTGACCTCTCACTATGCTGGAGAGAGCGCTGCCATGACAACGGCGACAGATGTCAGCTAAGCAATGTGCACCCTAGAAAGACTCCTGTATTGAGAAAATCGATCTTGTAATGGTGCCACAGAGCACATTCGCTGAACTGCCAAGTGTTCTAGGCTTAATCATTTATTTCATCTAGCAGAGAGAAGAAAACATAAAAGAAATGAAATGAATTTGACCTCTGTCTTTTGAGTGACTTTAGTGCTACACTGAATTCTAGCAAGTGCCTCTTATGAATTTTAAAAAATTACATTAGGAATAACATTTTGAAGTGAAATGACTCTTGTAATGCCAACCCTCCAGAAACATGTTATTTCAAATGTCACATACCTAATAGTCATTTGCTATTTTCTGTGTATGTCTGGGGGTTAGCTCCATCTTGAGTATGTTTCAGGCAAATTATTATGAAGAAACTGGGAACGAAGTGGACCAGAGCCTGCTGGTTTGGTTTTCTCCCTTCTTAGCATAAGGCAACTTCTTTTGTGCCGATCATCATGGATTAGCGAGTAGCATAAGCAACGTTTCATATTGACAGCTTTTGAATCCCTCTCAATTTTAGAGTCTTCCAATAGAATGCTTGTTCTTTTGTCTGTCTGCAGAGTGAAGTTTGTCTCCCTGACAGTTAATCCTGAGACAGCCTTCCATCGCCTTGATAGGCTTGTCATTCATGCCTTGACACCTCTCGTTCATCTGAGGCTGGCCTGCTGGATATGCAAATGATAGGAGGACTGAAAATCATAATCCTTCAGCCGTGATGGCTAGTATGTCAACGTCACTATTCTTGGAACAAGCCATTTTGTGAGTAGCTGGGGAGTGGTGGGAGACTCTGAGCGAGGGGAGGCAGCACGCACTTCTGACCTTTTCATGGCCCAGGTCAGAATTAGATTTTTAAAAAAGCAAATGCCCAAACCGAAAGAAACCCTTAAAGCCTAAAGACTGTAGACAAATCTCTCTGATAACCTTGCCTGTATAAATAAATATCATTTAGAGTGATTATAGTGAAAAGGATCTCTTAAGATTTTCAATGTGATATGTCTGTCTCTTGTGCTGTGGGATATTTTATTGCATTTTTGCCCTCAAGTGGAGCTGACAGGAGCCAAGCTTGTAATTTAAATCAATAAGAACCCTTTACCATGGCCATAAAATACTTGGCTAAACCTTTGAAGTGGCCACAGTTGAATGCACAGTGAACACAGTATAAATGTTCCTTAAGATGTATTGTATGAGACCACTGCTAGAACAGCATTCAAAGGAACCGGCCTTAAGCATCTTTTGTGACTGATGGGAGAGGGTCCCAAATGCTTTTGATCATTTACATGCCGCTCCAAACAGCCCACTTAATTGGCATGTGACCCAGCTGCAGCCTTCTGTTTTCTCCTCAGACATTTCCACTGTCTCTTTGGTGGGGTTTCTGGAATCTGGGTCTCCTTCTAAACCAATAATCCACATCTGACATGCTGTTGTGTCAGTTGCTCCTGCTCATTTCCACTGTAGCCGGGGAAAATAGAACAAAGGCTGGTTGTTCAAACCCATCCTGGGAGCGCCGCACAGGCAGTTCAGCAGCACTGGCTGGGAAGTGTTCTTTGTGTAACAGCGAAGGCTGAGGTTGCGGCTTACCTGTTAGTTTCTTTTGGAGCGGCTTGTTTTTGGAGGGGTGGCGTTCAGCGAGATGTCAGAATTGAAAAGGCAGCGTTTGCCTCCACTCTGCTTCGCTCTGCTGTCTCCCGCATCCTCACTGTGTGCCTGGCCCTTCCTCCGGCTCCTTCCTGCCGCCTTTGCCTTTTTCCTGTGAGGATGGGTGGGTGGGTGGATGGATGTTTCCCGACTCTTGTCCTCTGGTCTCTGTCTCTGTTTGTCCCTCACTCTTTGTCTCTCTCTTGCTCTCAGATTCCAAAGTCTTCCCCAATTCTACAAAAACAGTAAATGGTGATCGTCTGAATTTGGCAGTGAACTGTCTTGTGTGAGGGACCTGCTGCCCCGGGGGGAGTGTTGCAGTTGTGATACCAAACGCACAGGCTCAAGCGCAGTCACTCCTTTCCAGGTTCATGGGCCAAATACCTTTCCTGGCTGCTGCTTCACAGAAGCCCTGTCTTCCTGGTGAGACGTCAAAGATAGGCATCAGAGTCACAGGCCAGTCTCTACTTTATCTGATAGATCACAACCTTCGTTGTAGTTCCCTCTTGGGATGGCACCTACAGGTATCCCAGTGGCTAAGCAGATGGACACACGTCCTGTGTGACCTCTCCTTTTGGGGAAGGCACTTTCTGAAAGGCCCATCTGGGCTCAGGTCTGACTCCCCTAGGGGGCCACATGTCATGTCTGTTTGCCACATGCAGTCTGACAATACATTTTATTACCTGGCCTCTGCAAACCCAATACGATTTTGTGACTCTTGATATTTCAGCTGATGTTTACAAGATTTCTTTTGCCCTTTTGTGAGAACAGACTAGACAGGGCCTTAAAAACACATTACTTTGTGTTTATAAAGTTAATGCGTATAAATGGCATTTAAAAACGTGTGTATGGGTAAACTATTATAGCCAAAATCAGATTTTAAGGACATATCAACAAGATTCAAAGTTCAGAACTTGTTTATGTCCTAATTTGAAAAAATGAACTGGAAAGATATGTAATGTATATTTGAATAACTGGGGACATTTGCCTACAACTGGTTATTATATAATTGACAAGATATTACGGGAAAGGAAGGCATGGAGTAAATAAAAACCACACTGGAAAGCAATGATAGTTGTAAAAGCTGGGTCATCAGTGGAATAAGCGTTCAGTACGTTATTCTATTTTTATTTATATTTCTAAATACTCTGTTGCAAAGTTAGAAGAAGTTAGCATGCCTACTCAGGATTGCCTTACCACCACACTTATACCTGTTGTTCAATAAAATTGTATTTCGGCAGGTCTTACCTGTTTGCCTGTCATCCTGTGCTTTTACCTCCCATGTAAAATTTCCTTTGCACTGGGGGGCTGGTTCTGTTTGAATGCTGTCTATCCCTGTGGCCTGAACTTTAGCATTTAGCATGGAATTTCTGCCTACCTCATCTCCCCATTCAGACTGTAAACTTCTTGAAAGCAGGACCGTTTCTTACCTTTCAGTGCTTCCTACCTATAATTGTGCAGTGTGAGGCTCAGAGTACGAATGAATCGGGCTAGGCTAGACTATGCTGTGGTAACACATAAGTCTTGAAATCTCAGCAGCGTTATGCAGTAAAAGTTCATTTCTTGTTCCTGTAAAGTCGATGTGTGTTGGGCATCTCTGTCCCATCTTGCAGCTATGCTCTCAGGAGTGGGTAGCTTTCAGAGAGACCACAGTGGGGGAAGAGAGAGAGATGAGATCCATCAACAGGTTGTATTTTGACTGCCTCTGCCTGGAAATAACCTACAGAACTTCTCCCACAGCCCATAGGCTGGAATGAGTCACCTGACCCCCAACAGCAAGGCAGGCTGGGAAATGAAGGGAGCATGTGGCTATTTGGTGAGCATGAATTGTTTCTACACTGCTTCTTACCCCATGTGCATATTGTCTCATGAATTTCAACATGAGAGAGTCCCCGGTGAGAAGGCCTTTGGTCATTTGTGTGGAATAAGAAAATGACAACCAGACCATTTCATTTCCTTTTTTTTTGGCCATGCCAGTGGGTTATTTCCTACATAGTTGGAACCCTGTCTGGTTAATGGTAAGATCCCAGAGGGCTTCATGACCACTGTTCAGGCTTTGTGCCTATGACAGTCAAAGGCACAAGGATTATCGCCTGTCTCCATCTGAAAATGTTATAGCTTGATCCTGTCAGGGTGCTGCCAAGCTTGAGGTGCTCCCAGAATAGAGGGGTACACTGTGACTGGGGCTCATGTGGTTAAAATAGTAATAACCAGAAAAACAGAGCATCTGGCCATTGCAAGAAAAGAAGGGCACAACTACATTACGGTGAGAAGTTCCTTCCTCAGGCAAAGTTGAAAATGTTTAATTTAAGGAAAGGGCACCACTAACCAAATAGAGGAAAATGTAGACTCTCAAGCCAGGTGCATATCTCATGTGTGATATGCTGATGATCATCAGCCAAATTTAGTGACTGAGCAAGTGCTAAGGGGTATTTGCCTGTAGATAAATGGTCTGTATGAACAGGTGTTCCCCAGTCTGCCTGTCTCCCTCCCCTTCCGCCTGTGGGTAGGGCAGGTTTCCTTAGAAGAGCCTGAGGCACTGCAGCCTTCCTGGGGCTGGCAGTGAAGGTACTCTTCCGTGCAGAGCCACATGAGGGACGCTGGTCTGAGAGTCTCCTAGAAATAACAGGCAGCCCTTGAAGGGCATTAAGTGGAGCGTGACCTGACCCTGATTGCTTCTTTATTTTTTTATTTTTTATTTTTTTGAGACAGACTCACTCCATCACCCAGGCTGGAGTGCAGTGGCATGATCTTGGCTCACTCTAACCTCTGCTTCCTGGGTTCAAGGGATTCTCGTGCCTCAGCCTTCTGGGTAGCTGGGATTACAGGTGTGCGCCACCATGTCCGGCCAATTTTTGTATTTTTAGTAGAGATGGGGTTTTACCATGTTGGTCAAGCTGGTCTCGAACTCCTGGTTTCAAGTGATCTACCCGCCTTGGCCTCCCAAAGTGCTGGGATTACAGGCATGACAGGCATGAGCCACCATGCTTGGCCCATGGATTGCCCCTGGATGTGGCTGTGTCCTGAGGATGAGCTGCAGGGGCACACTGAAGTAAGCAGGAGGACCAGCTGAGAGGTCACTGAGAGACAGAAGGTTGGTTGCAGGGATGAGGAAAGCAAGGTGAGCTACTCTGTTTGGCAGTGAGTGATAACCGTCTCCTCCCCCTCTCCCCTTGGATGTCTAGGCCCAGGCACACTGGTCCCCTGTTAGTTCATTTCTCCCTCAGGGCCTTTGTACCCACTGTGCCCTCTACTGGAACAACCCCCCGCACCCCAAGCCTACACCTACTTACCCTTCAATCTCAACTCTGACGTCACTTCCTCAAAAAGCCTCTGGACAACCCCCTTCCAGATAGGTCAGGCCCCTCATTCACAATTAGTTATGTAATGATGTAATGTCTGTTTCTTCCATTAAAATGGAAGCTTCTTGAATTCAGGGGTTGTATTTGTCAAAATCACATTAAAAAACTACTTTAAAAGAAAAACAGCATGCTGCCTTGTACATAGTAGGTCCTTAATGAGTATTTTTTGAATGACATATGTTAGGCATTTTCTTACAGTGTGCTGTCAAACCCTCCTTACAAGCTTGCAACCCCATTTTGTGGATGAGTAAACTGTGGCTCCAAGAACACAAAGCAGGGGAGTGGCAGACCCAGGATTTGCAGCTTGGTCTGTGTAGCATCAAAGCTCTCATTCTTTCTGTCACAGCAGAAATAAATGAGGTTACTTTATTCAAACAATGTAATTCAGATTAGGCCAAAGCCAGAGCACGATGAATTCTTTTTATTTCACTGGCTCCAACTTACTGAGATCAATTTAATTCATGTAGCATTTATGGGATACCTTGAACTCATTCACTATGTTAAATAGGAGGGCAAGAAAGGGACAGAGCTGGGCTTCAGGGAAATGCCTGTGGTGAGCTGGATACAGAGGGTCCCAGAAGGAGAAGAAGCTGTGTGCTTTCCAGAGGAGTAGGCTGGCCCAGAGCCCAGGTCACTGAGTTCTTAGGAAGGACCTGCAGGGTGGCAAGGGCCTGCTGTCTCTTGACTCTTGCTGAGTCAAGAGTGGGTAAAACATTTAGGCTGGCTGCTTAATGGAAAGAGCTTGGCTTTGGAGTCGCACTT